ACTAGCCGGGCGAGGTGGCGGGCGCCTGTAGTTCCAGCTACTCGGGAGGCTGAGGCAGGAGAATGGCGTAAAAACCCGGGAGGCGGAGCTTGCAGTGAGCTGAGATCCGGCCACTGCACTCCACCCTGGGCGACACAGCGGGACTCCGTCTCAAAAAAAAAAAAAAAAAAATTAGCTGGGCATGGCCAGGCACAGTGACTCACCTGTAATCCCAGCACTTTGGGAGGCTGAGGCAGGCAGATCACAAGGTCAGGAGATTGAGACCATCCTGGCTAACATGGTGAAACCCCATCTCTACTTAAAATACAAAAAAATTAGCCGGGCATGGTGGCTGGCGCCTGTAGTTCCAGTTACTCGGGAGGCTGAGGCAGAAGAATGGCGTGAACCTGAGAGGTGGAGCTTGCAGCGAGCTGAGATTGTGCCAGTGCACTCCAGCCTGGGTGACAGAGCAAGACTCCGTCTCAAAAAAAAAAAAAAAAAATTAGCTGGGCATGGTGGAGCACCTGGAGTTCCAGCTACTTGGGAGGCTGAGGTGGGAGGATCACTTGAGCCCAGGAGATCAAGGCTGCAGTGAGCTGTAATCTTGCCACTGTACTCAAGCCTGAGCAACAGAGTGACACGCTGTCTCAAAAAGAAGAGAGGGTACGCCGGGTGCAGTGGCTCACATCTATAATCCCAACACTTTGGGAGGTGGGTGGATCACTTGGAGTCAGGAGTTTGAAACCAGCCTGGCCAACATAGTGAAACCCTATCTCTACTACTCAAAAAATAAATAAAAATAAAAAAGAGGTTATCTATTTACAAACGAGGAAATTGTTATGGGAATGACTGAGGAACTTAGCCAAAGTTAACCTAGCAGTAAGTGTTCAGTCTGGCTCCTGAATCTTTTTGAAACAATCTCACTCTGTCACCCAGGCTAGAGTGCAGTGGTACCATCTTGGTTCACTGCAGCCTCCACCTCTCAGGTTCAAGCGATTCTCACGCCTCAGCCTCCTGAGTAGCTGGGATTACAGGTGCATGCCACCATGCCTGGTTAACTGTATGTATGTATGTATATATTTTGAGATGTAGTTTCATTCTTGTTGCCCAGGCTGGAGTGTAATGGCACGATCTCAGCTCACTGCAACCTCTGCCTGCCAGCTTCAGGTGATTCTCCTGCCATCAGCCTCCCGAGTAGTTGGGATTACAGGAGCATGCCACCACACCTGGCTAATTTTTTTTTTTTTTTTTTTTTTTTTTTTGTATTTTTAGTAGAGACAGGGTTTCACCATGTTGGCCAGGCTGGTCTTGAACTCCTGACCTTAGGTGATCCACCCGCCTTGGCCTCCCAAAGTGCTGGGATTACAGGCGTGAGCCACCACACCCGGCCCTAGTTGTATTTTCTGTACAGGCAGGGTTTCGTCATGTTGGCCAGGCTGGTCTCAAACTCCCGGCCTCAAGTCATCCACCTGCCTCAGCCTCCCAAAGTGCTGGGATATAGGTGTGAGGCACCACGCCAGGCTAGGCTCCTGAATCTTGACCAGTCCCTTATACTTCCTCTGTGATACTGTCATTTTAAACAGTCAAGTGTCATACAAATAGAACTCCTGATATATACTACCCAGACATACCCATCAGCTTATAAAAATACATTCCGAAGGTTTTTTTTCCTTTTTGAGACGGAGTCTCGCCTTGTCACCCAGGCTGGAGTGCAGTGGCACAACCTTGGCTCACTGCAACCTCTGCCTCCTGGGTTCAAGCAATTCTCCTGCCTCAGCCTCTGTAGCTCAGCAGCTGAGATTAGACACATGCTACCATGCTTTGCTAGATTTTTGTATTTTTAGGGGAGACGGAGTTTCACCATGTTGGCCAGGCTGATCTTGAACTCCTGACCTCATGTGATTTGCTCACCTCAGCTTCCCAAAGTGCTAGCATTACAGGCATGAGCCATCTCACCCAGCCGGAAGTCTTTTTTTTTTTTTTTTTAGGATGAAGTCTCCCCCTCTTGTTGCCCAGGCTGGAGTGCAGTGGCATGATATCGGGTCACTGCTACCTCCACCCCCCAGGTTCAAGCAATTCTCCTGCCTCAGCCTCCCCAGTACCTGGGACTACAGACACACGCCACCACGGCTGGCTAATTTTCACATTTTTATTAGATACGGGGTTTCACCATATTGGCCTGGATTGTCTCCAACTCCTGACCTCGTGATCCACCCACCTTGGCCTCCCAAAGTGCTGGGATTACAGGCGGGAGCCCGGCCCCTTTTTTGTTTTTTTTTTTTTTTTTTTTTTTTTGAGACGGAGTCTCGCTCTGCCGCCCAGGCTGGAGTGCAGTGGCCGGATCTCAGCTCACTGCAAGCTCCGCCTCCCGGGTTCACGCCATTCTCCTGCCTCAGCCTCCTGAGTAGCTGGGACTACAGGTGCCCGCCACCGCGCCCGGCTAGTTTTTTGTATTTTTTTTTTTTTTGTAGAGACGGGGTTTCACCGTGTTAGCCAGGATGGTCTCGATCTCCTGACCTCGTGATCCGCCCGTCTCGGCCTCCCAAAGTGCTGGGATTACAGGCTTGAGCCACCGCGCCCGGCCTGTATTTTTTTTTTTTTTAAATAGAGATGGGGTTTCACCATGTTGGCCATGTTGGTCCCAAACCCCTGACCTCAGGTGATCAGTCTGCCTCAGCTGCGATTACAGGCATGAGCCACCATGCCAGACCCTGAAGTTTTTTAATGGCCACAGATGTGTCTGGATGGGTGGACTCCAAATGAACTATAGGAAAATACATGAACAACAAAAAAAGTTGCAGGCCAGGCATGGTGGCTCTGGCCTAGAATCCTAGCACTCACTTTCAGACACCAAGGCTGGCGGATCACCTGAGTTCGGGAGACCAGCCTAACCAACATGGAGAAACCCTGTCTCTACTAAAAATTAGCTGGGCATGGTGGCACATAATCCCAGCTGCTCGGGAGGCTGAGGCAGGAGAATTGCTTGAACCCAGGAGGCAGAGGTTGCGGTGAGCCGAGATCGTGCCATCACACTCCAGCCTGGGCAACAAGAACAAAACTACGTCTCAAAAATAAATACATAAAGCCAAGCGTGGTGGCTCACACCTGTAATCCCAGCATTTTGGAAGGCCAAGGCAGGCGGATGGTGAGGTCAGGAGATGGAGACCATCCTGGCCAACATGGTGAAACCGCATCTCTAGTAAAAATACAAAAATTAGCTGGGTGTGGTCGTGCACACCTGTGTTCCCAGCTACTCGGGAAGCTGAGGCAGGATAATCGCTTGAACCTGGGAGGTGGAGGTTGCAGTGAGCTGAGATCACGCCACTGCACTCCAGCCTGGCAACAGAGCAAGACTCTGTCCCCTCCACCAAAAAAAAAAAAGTCACGGTAGAACACATGAAGAACTATTCTTTTTGAAAAATAAAAAATGAGCCAGGCACGGTGGCTCATGCTTGTAATGCCAGCACTTTGGGAGTCTGAGGTGGACAAATCACAAGGTAAGGAGTTCGAGACGAGTCTGGCCAACATGGTGAAACCCCCATCTCTACTAAAAATACAAAAAGTTAGCTGGGCGCTGTGGCGGGTGCCTGTAGTCCCAGCTACTCAGGAGGCTGAGGCAGAAGAATGGCATGAACCTGGGAGGCAGAGGTTGCAGTGAGTCGAGATCGCGCCACTGCACTCCAGCCTGGGCAACAGAGCGAGACACCATCCCAAAAAAACAAAAAAGAAAAATGTTGTCTCCTGTGTCTGGTGGATCATTCAATTTTTATAAAGTTCAAAAGATACACAAAATTAAAATGATACATTGTTTAGGAATGCACTCAGTAAAACTAAGAAAAGCCAGAAGATGATATACCCAGTTAATTCTCCAAGTAGGAAGAAGAAAAAGTGAAACTGAATCACACAGGTTTGCTTCAAAGTTATTGGTAATGTTCTGGCTGGGCACATTACTTGAGGTCAGGAGTTCAAAACCACCCTGGTCAATATGGTGAAACCCCCATCTCTTTAAAATAAGGTGTGCAGCTGTAGCCCCAGCTACTGGGAACGCTGAGGCACGAAAACCACTTGAACCCCGGAGGGACAGGCTGCAGTGAGCCGAAATTGCACCACTATATTCCAGCCCAGCTAACAGGGTGTAACTGTCTCGAAAAAAAAAAAGGTGGCTAATTAGGTAGCCGTGTAGATACTTTACAATCATTAAAAAAGCTAAAATTTGGCCAGGCTCAGTGGCTCACACCTATAATCCCAACACTTTGGGAGGCTGAGGCAGACGGATGGTTTAAGGTGGGTGGATCACCTGAGATCAGGAGTTTAAGACCAGCCTGGCCAATATGGTGAAACCTTGCCTCTACTAAAAATACAAAAAATAGTTGGGGGAGGTGGCAGGTGCCTGTAATTCCAGCTACTCAGGAGGCTCTGAGGCAGGAGAATCACTTGAACTCAAGACGCAGAGGTTACAGTGAGGCGAGATTTTACCATTGCACTCCAGCCTGGGCAACAAGGGCGAAACTCCACCTCCCCTCCACCAAAAAAAAAAAAAAAAAAAAAAAAAAAAACCTCAAATGATTGTCAAGTCTAGTGTATTATACATAATACTATGTCAACCAACCAAGAATCTCTAATATTAGGGTTAAGGTGGGGTACAGCCTAACTCTTAGCATTAACTCACAGGGCTTCACCTTTCACTTCCCTTAATCTTTTTTGAGACGGCTGACTGGAGTGCAGTGGCATGATCTCTGCTCACTGTAACCTCCAACTCCCTGGTTCAAAGCCATTCTGCCACCTCAGCCTCCAGAGTAGCTTGGGATTACAAGGCATGCATCACCACACCCAGCTAATTTTTGTATTTTTTTTTTTTTTAGTAGAGATAGGGTTTCACCATGTTGGCCAGGATAATCTCGATCTCCTGACCTTGTGACCCACCCACCTCGGCCTCCCAAAGTGCTGGGGTTACAGGTATGAGCCACTGTGCCCAGCCCCCTCAATCTTTTTGTACCTTTTCACTGAGACCAAACCATGTCTTGTTTACTTTAAAATGTTTTATTAGAATTTTGATAAAAGCAAATACTTGTATATAAGACAAATACAGGAAATAGAAGCTCTCTACTTGAAGTGCCCCCTAATTTTCAGGCATTCTTCCCCCAATAAGGTGACAGCTGCTCACACAGGGTAATACAGGAAAGTTGTCAGTTCTTAGGATATGCCCAGCACCAGGCAGAAGATATTCTTTGTGTCAGCAAATTCCTGAAAATTCATAAAAAGAACATTAGAACCATATAGAATGTACCAATACAAATGAACGATTTCATGTCCTTTGCAGAAACATGGATGCAACCAAAGGCCATGATCCTCAGGTGAATCAATATAGAACAGAAAACCAGATACCGTATGTTCTCACTTGCAAGTGGGAGCTAAATGTTGAGTATACACTGAACCCAAGTAACGAAATTGCACATAATACCCCCTAAATCTACAACAAAAGCTGAGGCTGGGCATGGTAGCTCACGTCTGTCAGTTCCAACACTTTGGGAGGCCAAGGCAGGAGAATCACTTGAGCCCAGAAGTTTGAGACCCAGCTTGAGCACCATAGTAGGACCGCATATCTACAGATTTTTTTTTTTTTTTTTTTTTTTTTTTTTTTTTGAGACGGAGTCTCTGCCGCCCGGGCTGGAGTGCAGTGGCCGGATCTCAGCTCACTGCAAGCTCCGCCTCCCGGGTTCACGCCATTCTCCTGCCTCAGCCTCCCAAGTAGTTGGGACTACAGGCGCCCGCCACCTCGCCCGGCTAGTTTTTTGTATTTTTTAGTAGAGACAGGGTTTCACTGTGTTAGCCAGGATGGTCTCGATCTCCTGACCTCGTGATCCGCCCGTCTCGGCCTCCCAAAGCGCTGGGATTACAGGCTTGAGCCACCGCACCCGGCCAGATTTTTTTTTTTTTTGAGATGGAGTCTTGCTCTGCCACCCAGGGTGAAGCGCAATGGCGCCACATCAGCTCACTGCAACCTCCACCTCCCAGGTTCAAGCTACTCTCCTGCCTCAGCCTCCTAAGTAGATTACAGACAGGCACCTGCCACCACGCCCAGCTAATTTTTGTATTTTTAGTAGAGACAGGTTTTCACCATGTTGGCCAGGCTGGTCTTCAACTCCTGACTTCAGGTGATCCACCCACCTCAGCCTCCCAAAGAGGAGGCGATTACAGGCATGAGGCACCGCACCCATCCTCAAATTTTTTAAAAAAAAATTAGCCAGGGATAGGCTAGGCGAGGCTTGCGGTGAGCCGAGATCGCACCACTGCATTCCAGCCTGGGCGACAGAGCGAGACTCGTCTCAAAAAAAAAAAATTAGTCAGAGATAGTGGTGCATGCCTGAGTCATTAGCTACTCCAAGGGTGAGGTGAGAGGCGAGCTTCCACCCAGGAGGTTGAGGCTGCAGTGAGCTGTAATTGCACCACTGCACTCCAACCTGGGTGAGAGCAAGATTGTCTCAAAAAACAGAATAAAATTGTCAGACATTATGGCTCACACCTGTAATCCCAGCACTTTGGGAGACCAAGGTGGGCAAATCACCTGAGATCAGGAGTTCGAGACCAACATGGTGAAACTCCATCTCTACTAAAAATACAAAATTAGCTGGGCACGGTAGTGCATGCCTGTAATCCCAAGTACTCGGGAGGCTGAGAGGCAGGAGAATCACTTGAACCCGGGAGGCAGAGGGTGCAGTGAGCTGAGAATGCGCCACTGCAGTCTAGCCTGGGCGACAAAGCGAAACTCCATCTCAAACAAAAAATAAAATACATGTTGTGGGCTGGGGGCGGTGGCTAACACCTGTAATCTCAGCACTTTGGGAGGTCAGGCGGATCTCTTGGTCAGGAATTCAAGACCAGCCTGGCCACCATGGTGAAATCCTGTCTCTATTAAAAATACAACAATTAGCCGGGCCTGGTGGCGCATGCCTGTAATCCCAGCTACTTGGGAGGCTGAGGCAGGAGAATTGCTTGAACCTGGGAGACAGAGGCTGTAGTAAGCTGATATGGCGTATCATATCATGATAAAGAGTGTACCACTGCACTCCAGCCTGGATGACAGAGCGAGTCTCAAAAAATACACAAAACGTGTTGGGGTGGGGCACAGTGGCTCACTGAGGCAGGAGATGAAGACCAGCCTGTGCACAAAGTGAGACCCTATAATATACTTTAGATCTGTCTCCCCACCAAATCTCATATTGAATTGTAATGGATCACTGGGATGGATTCTTCATGAATGGCTTAAGTACCATCCCGTTGATGCTGTGCTCATGACAATCAGTTCTCTAGAGATCAGTTTATTAAAAAGGTGAGGCAACTCCCAGCCATTGCTGCTGCTCTGGCCATGCTACATCCCTACTTTTCTCTGTACCTTATGCAATATAAAGTATCATGAGGCCTCCCCAGAGGCTGAGCAGATGCCAGCACCATGCTTCAAGTACATCCTACAGAACCATAGCCAATCAAACCTCATCATGTAAATAACTGGCCATAAAAACGTGAATTACAGGAGATTCTAGGCAGCATGAGGGTGGATCAGGTGGGTTCAAAGATCCTCAGAGAAAAGCTCAGAGACTCTAGTCCAACCAGATCATTACCACTCCAACTGAGCCAAAACAAAGGATAGTCACCATAGCAACGAAGGAGAACAGGCATGGCTCTCCACCTCTCCCAGCCTGAAGGTCAAGTCGCAGGAATCATTGTCTAAGCATGACAGCCATACAAAGCTTCTTTCCACGAGGGGGAGGTTCCAAACCTTAGGCCTTCACTCAGGTTAGTGCAGAATCTCTGTGAAGGAGCATTGTCCCTGGCTGGGCTTCCAGAGCTCACATTCTAACAAGGTGAAAACAAGACAATTTGAGAATAAGCAGAATTACGGCTCTTCCATTGGTCCCTCTTAGAAACCCAAGTATCCAGTTCCCTAAATGAGTCAGAACTTAGTTTTGACATCATGACCAGCATCAGAGACTCTAGTCTGTGAAATCATCATTCCCAATTAGGGAGATCTGGATCAAGGGAAGCCCTTCTGGAAAGAGATCTATCTAGTACATTCAAACAAAACACAACAGTCCTAATACATATTGGTCTAACAAATGAGTCCAAGAACGGACGTTAGAAAGGGAGTAGTAGAAAGTAATTTAAAACTGCAGAGAACAGCTCCTCTGGGAGGTCTCAGTGTACTCCTAGTTTACAGTAGAAATGAGTGGAGGAGTCAGGTTACCCAGCCTTCAACAAAAATACGGGGATTTATTAAAACGTAAAAATACAGGCCAGGTAAGGTGGCTCACGCCTGTAATTCCAGGAGCACTTTGGGAGGCCGAAGCAGGTGGATGACCTGAGTTTGAGACCAGCCTGACCAACATGGAGAAACCCCGTCTCTACTAAATACAAAATTAGCAGGGAACAGTGGCACAAGCATGTAATCCCAGCTACTCTAGAGACTGAGGCAGGAGAATCGCCTGAACCCAGGAGGCAGAGGCTGCAGTAAGTGTAGATCATGCCACTGTACTCCAGCCTAGGTAACAGAGTGAGACTCTCCCCCGGTCCCCCAAAAGAGTAAAAACACAACGGTCACAAGGAAAATGATGTAAACCAAAAAGTAGTCTCTAGAAAGTTACCAACACCAGGCGCAGCGACTCACCCCTGTAATTCCAGCACTTTGGGAGACAGAGGCAGGAGGACTGTTTGAGCCCAGGAGTCGATACCAGCCTGGACAACATGGTAAAAGCCCGTTTCTGTAAAAAAACTAAAAGTTAGCCAGGAGTGGTGGTAGCACGTGCCTGTAGTCCCAGGAGGCTGAGGTGGAAAGACCACTCGAGCCCTGACGGCGGATGCTGCAGGGAGATCCTGGTGTTGCGCTCCAGCCTGGGCGACGGAGCAAACAGTCTCAAAAACAAAATAGCAATAACAAATACAAGGGTCACCAGCTGTGGTACGTGGATAGCTCAAAAAAGAAAAAAGTGGCAGGGCGCAATGGCTCACGAGGTCAGGAGATGGAGACCATCCTGACCAACACGGTGAAACCCCTTCTACTAAAAATACAAACATTAGCCGAGTGTGGTGGGGCGGGCCTGTAGTCCCAGCTAGTCGGGAAGCTGAGGCAGGACAATCGACTGAACCCGGGAGGCGGAGGCTGCAGTACTGTGTTCTTGCCACTGCACTCCAGCCAGGGTGACAGGCAGACTGTCTCAAAAAAAAAAAAAAAAAAAAAAAAAAAGGCAGGGAGGCGCATAATGCCCCATGAACGAAAGCCTGCTTGGGAACAAAGCTTTCCCAAGAGGCACTCAAAAGGCTCTCGCACCTAATACTCACCTTTACTCAAGGATAACACAGCGATGAACATCTTACAATTCCTAACGGGGAAATGAAACACAGGAACAAAGAATTAGAGATCTTGGCCATGAACCCCTCGTTGAGCCCGGTCTAGGAATGTTGGACCGAGGGGCGGTCAGAGCGCTGCGGTGATGGCGTCAGCGACACACTCAGAGTCACCTGGGGTCATCATCACTCCCCTCCTCTCCCCGGGCAACCGTCACCCCCATTTTACAGTCACTCGCACAACCCCACTCACAGTTGTGATGTCGCGATTAGTTAGCAGGGGCTGTGGCGCCGCTAGCCGAGTTCCAAGGAGAGGCACCAGAAACTCTACAGTGTGCAATGGTAGTTCACGCAGCTCGACTGGGGACCGCACTCTCCTCCCTCGGCCAGGCCACGACGTACCCGCCCGCTGGCTGCTGCGCAAAGGCAGGGCAGGCCATTGGGATCCCCTGCTCCCCCTCACTCAACAGCAGGGCCTGCAGCACGCGGCACGAGAACATCACAGCTCTTCTACTAGGAACCCACGAGCCCACTCCGCAGAGAGAACTAAAATGGTGAGGCCGGGTCTATTTATAGCGGCGCCGGGTCGGGGGCCTGATGGGTATGGCTGTTTTCTTATCTGCCTGGCTAAACGCGCGGCATTTTCCCCATTGTTCATCCACATAGAACTACAACAAAGTGAAAGAAAGGCCAGGAAAGTATGTTTCACCCCCTTCTGGGCAAACATTCGGAGATGCTTTCTGAATTTTGAAAAACAAAAAACAGGGACCTGTCTGGCCAGGCGGAAGAAAGTCCCTGGCGCCAGCAGGCCAGCGGCAGCCGGATGCTGTTCATAAGCCGCTTCGCAGGAGCCCAAGGTCGCTTAATGACCTTGGGACTTCGCTGGAGCGCGCTCGCACCTGCGCCAGTTTAGGGTCCAGCTGTCCCAGTTTAGGGTCCAGCTGCCCTGACACTCCGCACGCCGTTCCCCCAGCGAAATCTGAATTCGTCTCCCAGCTCGATCCCGCAGACTGTCAGGCTCCTTAAGCTTCAATTAACCAAAACAAAACAAAAACCAAAATCACAAAAGCCAGGTGGGGCGTAATAGGTCACTCCTGTGATCTCAACACTTTGGACAGGCCTAGACAGAGGATCACTTGAGGCCCGGAGTTCGAGACCAGCCTGGGCAAATAGTGACACCCAACCCCCGTATCTATTTAAAAAATAAATAAATAAATAACAGCATTTTTGAAACTCATAAATCATTTCAAATCCCACGTTTCTGGACCCTTTCCTATCTCCCTCATTTATAAACGTGTATGATGTTTGGTGATGTGTGTTGTGTGTGTTGGTATCTTTTTCTTCTTTTTTTTTTTTTTTTTTTTTGAGACGGAGTGTCACCCAGACTGGAGTGCAGTGGCGCGATCTCGACTCACTGCAACCTCCGCTTCCTCGGTTCAAGCGATTTTCCTGCCTCAGTCTCCCAAGTAGCGGAGATTACAGGTGCACACCGCCATGCCTGGCTAATTTTTATGTTTTTAGTAGAGTCAAGATTTCACCATGTAAGCTAGGCTGGTCTCGAACTCCTGACCTCAGGTTATCTGCCTGCCTAGGCCTCCACAAAATGCTGGGATTACAGGCGTGAGCCACCAAGCCCAGCCTGATTTAGAGTAGATATCTCTAGGCTCAGTTTTGGGGAGGAAGTGTTAGGGACACCTAGCTGATATGTCAGGAAGAACACCTTCAGGAAAGGCTTGTGTGGGAGGACAACCCATTACCGTAATCTTCTCAGCTTTATGCTGTGCAGCCTTTTTCTCCTTTCCTCATATATTTGCTATTTTTTAGAGTATTCATGAAAAAGGACAAAGAAGGTACTGTTCGTAAAACCTAGGGTAAAACCATCATTTAGAACCGGACACGAACTACTAAATGCCAACGATATTCAGGCAGGCAGTGGGGGAAAAAATCTTTGGCTCCTAAACCATCACTTGTTGCTCTCTAATTTGACCTTGGATGCAGCTCAAGTGACCACTTCCATATGCTAAATTGTCAAAAAGGTTCTAGAATACCTAATATAGAGGAGAATGGGATGAGGATTACAGAGGTGATACAAAGAACCTGACTCATCTTTCCTTTATGGCCATAGCCCCAAAATCTCATTCCTCCAGACCCTCACTTGGATAATTGCAGCTAGGGTGACCATAGCTGAAAATGTTAGTCTACCTCACATTTCTGCTCAAAACGATCTTAGAACTTTTGAAGTGAAGCTATTCAGACAAAATACTTTATTTTAAAAGGAGGCAACGAAAGCTAAATTAGTCTAAATAATTTGACTTGGTCACCCAAGTTGGGATTTGCAGAGCCATAGTCTGAACCTCCACTTCATTGTTGCTGTTTTGCCCATCCCGCAAGTTTTATTTTTTGTTTATTTTATCTTTTTTTTTTTGAGATGCAGTTTTGCTCTTGTTGCTCAGGCTGGACCGCAGTGGTGTGATCTCAGCTCACCACAACCTCCACTTCCCAGGTTCAAGCAATTCTCCTGCCTCAGCCTCCGTAGTAGCTGGGATTACAGGGATTCGCCACCAAGCCCAGCTAATTTCTTTCTTTCTTTCTTTCTTTTTGACATGCAGTCTCACTCTAGCCCAGGCTGGAGTGCGCTGGCATGATCTTGGCTCACTGCAACCTCCATCTCCCGAGTTCAAGCGATTTTCCTGCCTCAGCCTCCCCAGTAGCTGGGATTGTAGGCATCCACCACCATACCCAGCTAATTCTATTGTGTTTTTTTTTTTTTTTTTTTTTTTGAGACAGAGTCTCACTCTGTCGCCCAGGTTTCAGTGCAGTGGTGCAGTCTTGGCTCGCTGCAACCTCTGCCTCCTGGGTTCAAGGGATTCTCCTGCCTCAGCCTACCGAGTAGCTGGGACTATAGGCTCGTGCCACCACACCTGGCTTTTTTTTTTTTTTTTTTTTTTAAGTAGAGACGGGGTTTTGCCATGTTGGCCAGGCTGGTCTTGAACTCCTGACCTCAGGTGATCCACCGGCCTCGGCCTCCCAAAGTGCTGGGATTACAGGCGTGAGCCACAACGCCCAGCCAGCTAATTCTATTGCTTTTTGTGGAGATGGGGTTTCACCATGTTGGCCAGGCTGGTTTTGAACTCCAGACCTCAAGTGCTCCGCCCGCCTCAGCCTCCCTAAATTCTGGGATTATATGCATGAGCCATCGCACCTGGCCCATTTTATTTGATTTTTAAATTGTTTTTGTAAATTGACAAACTTCAGTTGTATATATTAGGTACAAAATAGTCATTCACTATTAACACAATATGGAGTAATTAAATCAAGCTAATTAACATATCACCGCAAATACTTTTGTGATAAGAACATTTGAAATTTTGAAATATACACTATTTTTTTTTTTTTTTTTTTTTTTTTTGAGACGGAGTCTCGCTCTGTCGCCCAGGCTGGAGTGCAGTGGCCGGATCTCAGCTCACTGCAAGCTCCGCCTCTCGGGTTCACGCCATTCTCCGGCCTCAGCCTCCCAAGTAGCTGGGACTACAGGCGCCCGCCACCTCGCCCGGCTAGTTTTTTGTATTTCTTAATAGAGATGGGGTTTCACCGTGTTAGCCAGATGGTCTCGATCTCCTGACCTCGTGATCCGCCCGTCTCGGCCTCCCAAAGTGCTGGGATTACAGGCTTGAGCCACCGTGCCCGGCCTGAAATATACACTATTAACTATTTTCACCATGCCCTGCAATATATACCCCCCAAAAAAATAAAAACAAAAACACAAAAACAGGCAGGGCACAGTGGCTCACGCCTGTAATCCCAGCACTTGGGGAGGAATAGACAAGGGGATCGCTTGAGCTGAAGAGTTTGAGACCAACCTGGGCAACACAGCAAGACTTAGTCTCTACAAAATGCAAAAAATTGGCCGAGCATGGTGGCACATACCTGTAGACCCAGCTACTCAGGAGGTTAAGGTGGGAGGATTCCTTGAACCCAGGAGTTTGAGACTACAGTGAGCTCTTCTGTGCTCCAGCCTGGGTGACAGAGCAATATCCCGTTTCAAAAAAAAAAAATACAACTCATTCTTCCTGAGGCTTTGTTCCCCTTTCACATCTCCCCATTCCCCCATCCCACAGCCCTTGCTAACCACCACTTCTTCTCTGCTTCTGAGTTCTACTGTTTAGATTCCACATATAAATGAATATGAGCCGAGGTCAGGAGATTGAAACCATCCTGCCTAACCCCATCCTGGGGTAAAACCCCATCTCCACCAAAAATACAAAAAAATTAGCCAGGCATGGTGACACACGCCTGTAGTCCCAGTTACTCAGGAGGCTGAGGCAGAAGAATTGCTTGAACCTGGGAGGCGGAAGTTACACTGAGCCGAGATCGTGCCACTGCACTCCCGCCTGGGCGACAGAATGAGAGTGAGACTCCATCTCAAAAAAACAAAAAAGTGACTTTTTTTTTTGTGGACTCCGCTAAGTGCAATGGGGAGAGAAAACAACCATGATCTCCTCTCAGCACCACCCCTCCCTCCTTGCTCCAGTTAACCCACCTCAACCACCCCTCCAACACCCTTTTGAAGCTGCCATCCCTACTTTTCCCTGAAACAAGCCCCACTCTAATCAAGACGGGCACCTGCAATTCCTCTTAAGGCCCACAATAAAGCCCTAACAAAAATATGTGTAGCCCTAACTCCTACACGTGTAACTCTTCAGAAGTACTGTCCTTTTCAGACTATATAGATGGAATTCAGACACTATCCCTCCCCAAATATCCATTATCTTCACATATAAACAGATAAGAACAAGTTTAACATTTTATTTTTCATATTTAAGTAAACAAATTATAAAAACATACATTCCCAGCCTTTGTAGTGTTTTCCCAAAGCAAAAAAAAAAAAAAGAAAGAAAGAACTCGTACAGAAGGTGGCAGTGTTGATTCATTTAAAGGGAACGAAACACCCTTACAGTATCAACATTAAATGCAAAGAATTATAATGAACATATTGGTTGTACTACAAAAATAATGAAGCCAGCTAATTACCATCAGGATACAACTTTACAAAGAAGTGAAGCAGCAAAGAGCTGAAGTAGAAATGACATAGGAAAACAGCAGCAAAGTCCTTGAGTCCAAACAGTCCACCTCAAAGACAAACATAATAAGGAACGAAGGTCCCTAATCCACCTCCTCAATGGTGGGGCCTGACCCAGACCCCCCCTTGGGACCCTGAGCCCCGAAGCCGCCAGGCCCAGGACCACCCGCACCCTGGTACAGTCCGCTGATGATGGGGTTACACACCTGCTCCAGCTCCTTCCTCTTGTGCTCAAACTCGTCCTTCTCGGCCAGAGTGTTGGCATCCAGCCACGAGATGACCTCTTGACACTTGTCCAGCACCTTCTTCTTGTCGGCCTCGCTGATCTTGCCCTTGAGCCCCTCATCCTCCACGGCGCTCTTCATGTTGAAGGCGTACGACTCCAGGGCGTTCTTGGCTGACACCCTCTCGCGCTGCACCTCGTCCTCCGCTTTGTACTTCTCTGCCTCCTGCACCATGCGCTCG